TCAGGACTGTAAATGTGCTCGTAATTCGCAACGCGGGCTTGACGTCACGGCGCTGCGGCGGCGCTGCGATCGCGCCGGAGTCGGGGGGTGTGGGCAAAAGAGCGCACGTTTCGCATGGGCGTCATGGCATTTCAGCATGCCGCAAAGCTGTGCTGCCGTTAATTGCACCCAAATGTGCAAGAAAAGTCGCGGAATGAGTTTCCAGAAGTTCCCGGCAGACTCTGAAAGGCATAGAAGGTGGATAATATCTGTGGATCGAAAAGTATGGTCGCCTCGCGCGAACGACCGTTTGTGCGGCAAGCACTTTCTTGGAGGCAAGTGCGGCTTCCATTTCAATCTCCGTCCCGAGGCTTGCTTATGTGCAGGGAAACCGTCGTCTGATCGAGACCACCCGGATTTTGTTGCCACAGTGTTTGCGCACAAAGCACCGGCCAAGCGCCCGTCGGAGGCTCGCTGCGCCCGTGCTACCAAGCAGAAGGGGATCAGCGGCAGAACGGCAATGTTGTAGGCGTTACCAAAAAAAAGTAACGAAATACGTTACTCGTTACTTGCAAATCAAAGGTACGCGTTACTGAGCTAAGTTGCCTAAAAATAAAAGGAACGCGTTACCGCTACGGATAAAAAGTAACGCACGTTACTTCTGCGTTACTTTTTAAATTATGATTTAACACGTTTTACGGTTTTGACGATAAAGGTGTGCATAAGCTCATATATCAAGAAACATTACGTTCATGCAGAAACTGAACATAATTACTTTACCTCTTTTTACGGTTTCAGCTAAATAGTCATGAGAAAAAACGGAAAGAAAAACAGAGCTTGACGCCTAAAAACACGGAAAAAATTGAAGTATAATTGTAGTAACGAGGTAACGAAACTACGCTACTTGAAATAGTAACGTAAGTACGTTACCTGTTACTCCGTCGAACAAGGAGCGAGTAGTTTACTACTTCACTGAAAAGTAACGCGTTCCTGGTAACACCGTTACTTGTAACGTATTACCGCCAAGACTGCAGAACGGACAAAGCGTTACTGCTTGTCATGCCTTGTGGTCATGAGAGTAAGAAGAATAGCATACTTTTACTTGAAGACGCTGTGTGTACTTATTTCATTAATAAAGCACTTCCGCAGACCCAGAGTCTGCTGATCCCGCCGGCAGTGCGGAAACCGAGTCGAAGTAATCATAGGCCTCGAGAGACTTGTACGCCTGGTTCGTGTCGGCCGTGAACTGGCTGGGCGAAAAAACTAAGTAAACGACGACGTGAGCCGTCGACTTCGGTGGCAGCAAGTTCACGTCGAAAGCCCGGCAGGCCTTTTTTACGGCGTACGGATCCTCGTAGGCAACGCCGTCCACGCACAGTTTATTTGAATTCCGCCGCCGTTCAGGCTCGGGTAGCGAGCTCAAATAGTCGGGCATGGCATACGACACACGTTGCAAGAAAATACGACTCACAAATAAAGATAGAAGCGTCCCTACAACGTCAACAACGAGCGCACGCCACACAACGCAATGGCGAAAACACGGACAGCCGGGTCGCTTTTGCCCACATAGCTACCGCGCATGCGCGGCCTTCCGGCCGTGTTGGTAAACAGAGCCGCTCCGCGTGTCGGTCTATAGGTGTCGGTGCGATAGTTTCAAGATGGCGGAAGAAACGGAGACAGATTCTCCAGGGTTTCCTGTGCGCCTGCTCGCTGACGCGCAGGACAATTGCGCGCGCACTCGATGACATCGAATGCGCGTGCAATTGTACTGGATTTCTATACAACCGCGTTCGCAACCGCTTAGCGAACGCGGATCTGCTTCCAGTGTGAATGTCACGGTCACTGACAAAATGAGAATGACAGGGCGCCTCTTTCGGATGCGCGGACTGCAGCAGCACGCGCTTGTTGCCTTCCGTCGTGCTTTGGATGCGCGAGCACGCTACACCCCCCTCCCCCCCCCCCCCCCCCCCTCGAAAAAAAAAAGTACATAAGCCAAGGGGTGGGAGCTACACACACAAAGGTCGCTCTCCTAAAGTAGCACCAAATCTACCCATTTAAACAAAAAAAAAAAAATATATATATATATATATATATATATGGAAGAAAGATAAAACCAGCGGCGTTTCTCAAACGCGCCGCACAAGACGGCGAGCGATCACCGTTACCGATGAGCGTATATACGTGCACGCAGCGAGGAACTCGAAAACACTCCAAATGACATCCGGCGCTTCCGTACATAATCTTGGTTCTGGCTTCCCGAAGAGCAAATGGCGACCCATTTGGATAATGCTCCAGGTCGGTCCATCAGCAGCCCCAAAAGTTCCCGTCCATCTGCATACGGATATGCAAAATTTTCTCAGACTCTCTACGAGTATAAATATGCATACGGCGCCCACCTACACAGCCTCCCCCCCTCCGCGATCTGAAAAAGTCCCAAGCTCTTAGGCGACCATGCGTGGGATTTGCGCGTGATCTCCTAAAATATATCTGCATTTCCCCCCCTTTACTATTTTTTTTTTTTGCCATTTTGCATTTGCAATGATGTTCGGTCGAAGTAAATGGAATGAACAGTTTCCGGAGGTATGGAACGTACAGACCCCCATGATCGTTCGAAGCATGTGCTTGTTTTGTGTGTGAGTGCGCTTCTGTTAATCCCAGTTTCATTTCTGTAACGAATAGCGATAACAACTAGAACATCCAATGAACGTACGTGTGTGCGTGTGTGTTTCTGTTTTTGTGTGTGTGCGGGGGGAAGGGGGGTCCGGGATAACGATTTTGTCTCAACGATTTGTGCCTGCGCGCCAAGTCCCTACTTTTTTTTTTTTTTTTTCTTCTTTCATGTAAGAGAAGAACGGGCGCATCTGGGAAAAAAAGAAACACACAAAGAAATGGTCTCAGCTCAGCTTTCGAGTCTCGGTTGTGCGATATAAAGTTACAAAAAAAAAAAAAAAAAAAAGTGTTTCTCAGAATAAAAAAAACATGCGCTTGATAAATTGGACTTTGGCGAATTTCGCATCCGACAGCGACAGAAATATGCTCGAGTATTCGCTCCTCTGTACACGAATTATGTATTCGTCTTCAGATTTTTCTGCATTCCTTCTTCCCTAGAACTTCTGTCTTCAAGCAACCCCCCTTCCCCCTCCCTCTCTCCCACCCCCCAAAAATTGTAAGGAAAAGCACATGCACAACAGAAAGTGTCTCAAATTCTGAGAGTGTGTTATTCGTCGAAGGGAAAGATTAAAGAACTTCACTGCGGAGATAAAGAGATCACGAAATCAACAATAACTAAAACGTTGACGAATCGTTGCCGGGTGAAGAACGCAGTAATAACACACAAACAAACAAACACAGACGAAACTGTTTGCGTGTCAAATGTCGTTTGCTTCGAGGGAAACCGGTTGTTTTCGGGAGCGCCGGTGTTGGCTTGCAGACGCCCGAGAGAGACTTTCGTTTTCTCCATGTATTCGGAGTTTTTTTTTTTTAATCTCGACTCGCTTTTCGTCGCCTCGAGAATTCTGCGTGCATTCCCTACCCGCCGCGTCGCACACTTGGACCAGATCTCTCTAAGCTCATCAGTCAGGCCGTCACCCTACCCGATCCTATTTTTGTTAAGCCATCACGCCCGCAAGTTTGATGTGTGCAATGAACGAAGAATCTAAATACGTCAACAATAACATACAAGTCGAGTAAGAGGAACGACGCTGAGCGCAACGAAATCTCGCATATTTGAAATTCGAGCATCTATCTTTATAAATTCAAAATGTAAAGGGGAACCGGAGCAACGCAAGCCAGCAAAATAAACATTTTTTTTTTTTTAATACGTAACACAGCGGACGAAACACGGGACATCGTTGAACGAAAATAACAAATTGAAACAATGTAACGAGAAATCCGCGAGGCTTTCGTCGAATAACTTCAGCAGTCGAAGAACCATTAGTATTCTCGAACACGAACACAACATAATTATAATATAGCAAAAGCTCTCGATACGGAGAAGCGCCCAAACCATTCCAATCCTCGCCAAGAAATCCAAGTTTGTTTTGTCATGGCGTCCGTCGCCATGGCCAAGATTCGTTGCTCTTGTCCATGCGGGCAGAAATCGAGAAGGAGGAGGAGACCAGAGCGCTCGGGCAGGTCACAACGCCGTGCTCTGGTAGGAATGATTAGTGGGTAGACTCATAGCCTCCTAAGCCTCTTAAGACAAAGCTTCGCAGATCTCCACGAGAAGCGGCCACCGAAACAGAAAAGGTGGAGCGGCAGACAACGGATGAGCCACGTGACTGCATGGCGCCCCGCTGTGGCGAGACGCCGAAACACACTTCTCCCGAGCGAACGAGTCTGTTTCGGGTCCTCGCCGCTGAAAAACCTGTGCGCTGACGTCTAGGTTAACGAGAAAGGGCTCTTTGATGTTCTGTGCTACCAGATCCTCATGCTCCAAATCTGCGACCGGGAACTCTGTGGCTCTGTCGTAGAACTGCCAGGCTTTGTGAGTATAGAGGAGGCTATGGTAGACCTAAAGCTCTGTCTTTGTCTCCACTGCACTTGTCGAACGCGTTCGAATGCGAGAGCCAAACGCTGGACGCCGGCGTTGGGCGTTCTAACGTGTTCGACGAGTGCAGTGGAGACAAAGGTCTTTAGGTCTACCCACTAATCGTTCTCTGCCTTCTGACCGTCCCCTCTCGTCTCATCCTCTCCCTCAATCGTGACGCGCATAAGAAACTCGAGCTCGAGGCGCGGGAGCCTGTCGTTCTCAGCTTGTCAGCGACTAGAGCGTGTTTCATCAATAGCCCAGAAAGACACGAAGACGCACGTCGAGTGACCGATTCCGATGGCCATTCAATGGCGCCTGCTCAAACTCCAGAAATAATTCAACGCGAATACGTGCAGAGGGTTCTCCCCTTCTAATTACCCCTTCTTAGCGCCTATATGGGACACATCATCCTAATTGAATGTTAGAAATTTAGGATATTTGCGCAGCCTTGCTAGAGTCAACGGTTCAAAGTTGGAAAAGACGTGCTCACCAGCGACGTCATCTGGTGACCAACGATCTCTTCGACCAGTCTGGCCGACTCCAACAGGGGCCTGGGAGTGTCCCCAAATCCGTGCCTGTAAAACCAAAAGACAAGCACATATCAGTCGGCTCTTCGGCGAGTCGAAATTCGCGGCATCGACGGGTCACACGGTACAGAAATTCTGAACAGTGTCTCATGTCCAAACTTATGACAGCGGTCTCAATGTAAACTAAAATCCCGCATAAACGGCCGCCCAAGGTAAATTGGTAAATTAAAAAAAAAAAAAAAATTAGCAGTGACAAGGTCCTACAATGCATGCAACGTGATATCGAACGAAAAGTCGTTCTTAATTTGGTTAAAAGACAAACAGACGCTTCGGAGAGCGAAAAATATCCTTTTTTTTTTTTTCACCACCAAACTTAGCGGGTAAGTTGACGTCAGGTAACATGACATCGAAGTGTCACCTGACCTGACGTCACATCCCGTCACGTCACGTGTCATCAGTTTCCCCACTAAATTTAGTGGGGAAATCGACGTCACGGCGCCAAGTCACGGTGCAACCTGATATTCAGTTGAAAAGCGTTTCCCGCGTTTCATGAGGTGAGCTGGGCGATCTTTCGGGGGGTGGGCGACGTTCGGGATATTATACGTCCCACGTAAAATGAAAGGAGAGCTGATATTGCAAAACGCGAAGCGGCCTACACGTATTCATTTTAGCAGCGACGGACTATACTTTTGCTCACCGCTAAGCGGACGGTGCGGTGTCACACGTCTATGTTTCGCCGCGGGATCCCGCTCCCGCCCACGCGCAGAGAGTGGGGGTCACGGGATCAAGGGCAAGTGTTCGACTTGTTAGGCGAGCGCGTAGCACCCACCGCACTGTCAGCTTAGGGGCGAACGGAGTGCACACAAACCGCTCGCAAAAAGCGCTAAGAGCCATTCTAGATCGGCGTAGTTAAGTGTGATCACGACACAAATGGAAAGCGTGATGCACGCGCATCATACTTCTGCAAATGTGGGGGCGGTAGAGAGAATCGCGGTTAAAAGTAAAAGTAAACGTTCTAGACGAACTACGAACAACCAAAAATTAAGCGAAGAATACAAACGAAACATGGCACATTAGCAGAGAGTGTGTAGAGGGGGAAAGAAAAACAAAAACAAAACAAAAATCAAGTGCCGCTCGAAAGCGACACTTCAGAAAAGAAAGAAAAAAGTCGGGCGTTGAAATGATGGAGAGCGCAGCGAAGAAAAAGTAAAAAATAAATGCCCGCGAGTTAAAAAAAAACAACAAAAAAACTAAGAACTCTTTTCTATGTAGAAAGCCGAAAAGCGCGAAGCAGAACCTAGTACGATGAAGTGAAGAAAAGTTGGCAGGCAGCTCGTCCAAAGATTAAAACCTGTATATATTTCACAACAGAAAACGGGGGAAAAAAATGCGGACATATATAGAGCGCATACGCGGGGAATGCATAATGAATGGCAATAACTCAAGAGTCAACGGGGGTGGCGCGCTGCTTCGGAGCTTCCGTGAATTAATTCGGCCGAAGTGAGAGAGAGAGAGAAAAGGAGAGGAAGCGAGGCACAAGATAGCGAGAAAGAAGAGGAGAGAGAGAGAAGGCTAAGAGCGGCAGGGTACTGAAATATTCGCGAGTGCGCGATAGACGACGCGATGGTAAACCGAGCAGCAGGAAGGAAAAGCTCTCCAACTTCCGTTTTGCATGTTCAAAGGGGAGATCGAAGGCTCGCGCCCTCTCCGCGAGGTTCAGCATCGATAACACACTCTTTTATTATTATCTATTTACTTCGATTATACCCTCTTCTACCGAAAACTCGAGGATCACGGGTCGTGTACGCAACACCGAGTGTTGAATAAATTAAAAAGCTGGAAATGTAGCGGCCTACCGCTGACGGAGAGTCAGTTCGCGCTGGTGGTGGAACAGTAAAGGCCAGTTCAGACACTTGCGTTTGAGTGCGTTTGACTGCGTCGCGTCGAGAACCGAAAGCGAGTCACCGGCACATCTGTGTTTCGTATGAAGCGTGGAATTCGATTCAAGGAATAATCTTGGCACGCGATATAAGCAGCACGGATGTCCTGGTTTCTCGCAGCCGCAACGCGGTCAAACGCAGTCAAACGCAACTGTCTGAACCAGGCTTTAGTCTCCCAGATGTATGCAGCATCTCTAATCTAAGACGGGCGACACGAGTAGAATCAGTCTGCATTCTCATCCTGCATGTACTGTGCCTGAAGGTCACGCGTCACTGAAAAGCGTTCCGGAGTGGCTTCCACAGCTCTGAGGGGAGAAAAGCTTCAACTTGTGTACCCTCCATAGGGATATGTGTTCCGCGTCAAAGTTTAACGTCTTCCACAGCTGACAGCTTTCCAAACGTTGCGTCATACTTAGATACGAATGATGAAACGGTGGACCAACGATTATGAACGCGGTGCAGCGTGGTATTGTTTCGATGTTTGTGGGTTCCGATAAAACGAATGCAATAAAAAAGAGATGTTTCGACGGAATGTAAAACGAGCGATAGTGCACGGAGGTAAATTGGTTCCACTGACGGGATGCGACGGTTTAGATTCTTCTGCGGTTGCGATCACGCTAGACATGGTATGCGCTCGAATGGTTTCAGTTAGGGCTGAGCGTCGATTGAAACATTTAACCCGTTTAACCGGTACCTTTTAATCGATTAATCAGTCGATTTGATTTCCAGACATAATATTGCCAAAAGGGCAAGAATGCGTTTTTAGTGGTTTTTTTTTTTTTTTTTTTTTTTCTGTGACAAACGCCGTAATGTACATTTTCAGCTGTGAATAAGCATGTTCAGTTGAGTAAGGTAAAAAGAAACGAAACATTCGCAGATTATTATTACAGCTGCAAAGACGTAGGAGTTTGAGGAGCGCGGGAAGAACTCCTAAACCCAGGCAGGTGTGTCTCTGACTGGGTGACCTTATTAGTGAAAGTGAAGCTGCGGGACTCGACCCTTTATTTTTTTTCCCTCTTGGGTAATTTCCGCAGTCAAGAAACCTGTTGTCCTTGACGTACTCCTGCGTGTCGTGGACTGGCCGTGGACGCCGTCGGCTCGCTACGCTAACCAAGAAAAGCCGGATGGGCTTTTCGTAAATTGTACACGGCATTCGACTTGGTACCATGTCCTGGCTTAACCACGATAAATGATGCCGTCATTCGGGAGTTTCACGCCGACAAACAGGACAATGTTTGCGTTTTGGACATGGAAAGCACGTCCGTAACAGAAACACAAAACCCGATGTTTATTTTTGTCTCGGTTCACCCGGTTCCAAGTCCAACCGATTAATCAGTTAAATATATTGAGTCATTACACTCTGAAAGCGGATAACCAGCAAAGCTGTTTAGCTCACGACACAAACGTGACACAGAATTTTAAACAAAGGTACAAACTATCGCCGCCCCGAGGAGTGGGGGGAAACTAGACACGCGCGACGGGACCGCCACCCCGGGAGAGCGGAGAGAAAAGAAACCAGGCACGCAAGCGCTTGGAACGACGACAAAGAGAGGGCGGTGCGAGCCTAGACATGGCCGACGTGGATCGCACAGCGGCAAATCTTTGAGAAACTGTTATTATCTACCTGAGAGTCTACTGGTCTTGAAAATGGTGCTGAGAGCTAATCTACTGAAAATGCATATCCGAGTGATGAGACCTATAAGCTTTTGCATAGAATGAAGCGATTTTGCATCAAATTCGGGGCCTGAGTTTTTGTTGCCGCACACGAAAAATCCACGGAACCGTAGCCATAAACAGCTTGGCTGTAAAAGTTAATCGCGATTAAAGCATTAATCGATTAATCGGCAGGTTACTCGATCAATCGCCCAGCCCTATAGTTTCGGTTCGTCGACTGTTCCCTGGTCAGGCATGTGTAACATCGTGATTGCCCGCCCATCCCCAACACCACTTAGAATGATGAAAGCCCGCCCACTGGCATCCTCAGTTCATCGCAGCGAGCTCGAGCGCAGGCGCGGATTGAACACGAGCGCTACTGCGACAGCGTTCGGTTGGTCCTCGTCCCGGTCAACGCGACGCTCGTTGTCAAACTCCGGCCCACTTGCCGATCGAGTCGGCGGCATCCGAGTGCGGTAGCAAGCTGTTTACATAGCAAGCTGCTTACATAGCAAGCTACATAGCAAGCTGTTTAGGGCCTTTGGTTATTCTAGTTGGTGCTGCCACTTTCACATTCGTCTGATACGTAGTACTGTTTGACATACGTACTCGCTTGTCCCGATCTTTGGCATCCTGCCGCCCGTCGTGTTCGTTCAACAGCGTATGATACAGACAACCAGTAAATCTCTTTTGGTAGAGAGAAGTTTCATGATACAATTTACACGAAGAGCGAAAACCGTCGCAGGAAGAGATTTTGTTTACTAGAAACCTGTTTCACGTGACTGTTTTCCGGGTGGGTTCAGTGACAGTGTGTTTGGACGTGCCGTGGAGCGATGGTAGCGCAAACGGAATGCGCGGATCTTCAAAATGTCATTAAATGTAAGCTTATAGTAGGGGTTAAATAAAACGTTAGAGCGAAATGCGTCACAAGGTTACTGGCAAAAAAAAAAAAAGAAGAAGAAGAAGAAGAAAAAAAGCGACTTTCCAAGAAGCACGAAATGCGATGGGAACTTATCGAATTCTGAATAGAAAACCTCTCGCGCATGGCTGTGCTTCAAAGATATAATATATGCCCTTGTTTTCTTTATTCCGCCTTTAAAGGAGCTGTGCAACGATATTCAATTGAAATGTTTTTCACTTGACACGAGCTTACTGGCACACCTGGGACTCAAGGATACTCGCACGCAACGCCACTGGCCAAGAAACTCCTTTGTTGCGGTGTAATTTCAAGGACAAAAGCGATCATTTTCATTCAATCTCTCCTTCGCAAAATTTGGTGACGTACCGTGGGGATCGCAGTACACCCAAGTGACGATGTTTGAATGCGGTTCATAGATTGGTCCCGAGCATTGTGTGGGCACTCGACTTGGGCTCGTGATAATCGCTACCTCGGGTAGTGACCCGTGTCCAATCGCTGCAACGACGACAACAGCCGAGCCATAACAATGTCTGGAA